CGACCAAACACTCTTGTCTGGGACGAATTTCAAATCACAAGAGGTTATCAATTAAAGGTAAAAGCATTAAAAACAGATTAATGACACTTAAGTTACAGTAGCGTTGTCATTATTAGTATACAATTATACTACTGGAAACATTTTTATATTAATATGTGGTTAACTATTTGGCAATTAATATCCATTTCAAAAGGGACCCTTTGCTATCTCATTTCAATTTGTCTTGACAAATTAGGTAATTCATCGAGTAATTGCCATTTCTACCAAAACACCTTTTAAGAACGAGGCCAACATGCACTCTCTCTATATATATTTTTTTATTTGTGGTTGATGAAAAGATACAGAATTGGTCATTTTCGCCAATATCGCCATTTTCCAAAGGGTCCCTTTGCCATCGTGTTTGAATTTTTGTTTACAGTTTGGCGTGTTTGGCGATTAATCGCCATTTCTGCCATTTTCGCCAAATACGCCATTTTCGCCGAAATCGCCACTTTCCAAAGGGCCCCTTTGTCATCTCATTTGAATTTTTGTTGACAGTTTGGCGATTAAGCGCCATTTCTGCCATTTTCGTCAAATACGCCATTTTCGCTAATATTGCCACTTTCCAAAGGGCCCCTTTGCCATCTCCTTTGCATTTTTGTTTATAGTTTGGCGATTTTGGCGATTAATTGCCATTTCTGCCATTTTCGCCAAATACGCCATTTTCGCCGAAATCGCCACTCTGCAAAGGGCCCCTTTGCCATCTCATTTAACTTTTTGTCTGTAGTTTGGCGATTTTGGCGATTAATAGGCCTTTTGCACTAAGAGGTCAGGTGACATCGTCTTTATGAAAATTAAAGTTATATGAGTTTGCCTTCGAAAAACGATTAGCGGGTCATATCTTAAACAAAATAATAGTGATTTGGTTTTTCAAACCCGAACCATTTTCTTAAAATGAATAAGTTCGTAAATGGTCACGTGACCAACATGGGATTTTTAAAATTATGAATTACCTCTCTCTGAACACAAATTTTGCACTTAAACTTCAAGGAAAATGTTGAAAAGATGATGTGACAACGTTCACAGCACATCTGAGCGTAAATATGAAACGTTGAGCAAGATATGAGCAAGAAGTAGTTTTGGCCGCCTTGTTGGAGGGCAAAAGCATGCCCTCCAACATGGCGGCCAATACAAATCATACTACTTTGCTGAAAAATGAAAGTGCCATAAAATATCTCCCTTAAATGCGATTTCTCTCAAATTACGGGTGTACGATAATTTTTGTGTGCTCTAACAATTTTTGCCATCAGCAAGATTCCAACTCATTGTTTAAAGGAAGCATTGGTCACGTGACCTCTTAGTGCAAGTGGCCTATTACCATTTCTGCCATTTTTGCCGAAATCACCACTTTCCAAAGGGGCCCTTGGCCATCTCATTTGAATTTTTGTTTACAGTTTGGCGATTTTGGCTATTAATTACCATTGTGCCATTTTCGCCAAATACGCCATTTTCGCCGAAATCACCACTTTCCAAAGGGGCCCTTGGCCATCTCATTAGAATTTTTGTTTATAGTTTGGCGATTTTGGCGATTAATTGCCATTTCTGCCATTTTCGCCAAATACCCCATTTTCGATGAAATCGCCACTTTGCAAAGGGCCCCTTTGCCACCTCATTTGAATTTTTTGTTTACAGTTTGGCGATTTTGGCGATTAAGCGCCATTTCTGCCATTTTCGCCAAATACGCCATTTTCGCCAATATCGCCACTTTGCAAAGGGCCCCTTTGCCATCTCATTTGAATTTTTGGTTATAGTTTGGCGATTTTGGCAATTAATTGCCTTTTCTGCCATTTTCGCCAAATACGCCATTTTCGCCAATATCGCCACTTTGCAAAGGGCCCCTTTGCCATCTCATTTGAATTTTTGTTTACAGTTTGAGGATTTTGGCGATTAAGCGCCATTTCTGCCATTTTCGCCAAATACGCCATTTTCGCCGAAATCGCCACTTTGCAAAGGGCCCCTTTGCCATCTCATTTGAATTTTTGTTTACAGTTTGGCGATTTAGCCCCATTTCTGTCATTTTCGCCAAATACGCCATTTTCGCCAAAATCGCCACTTTGCAAAGGGCCCCTTTGCCACCTCATT